AAATATCAGAAACAAGCAACGTGTGCTGCATGAAGACTACAAAACCATGCAATCACAAGGTACCATGAAAGAGATCAACATAACTAAACTGGAACGAGAGAAAGTTTAAATGACCAAGACATCCTCCTATATACGAAAGCCAGGATCCCCTTCCATGATCCTTCTCTCTCTACAAACAACATCCTGGCGAGGCTGGTTCAATCTCGGGGGAACCGGACACAAATCGCCTCTATACGGCTTAACTTTCGATGGCTTTACATTGGGTAGGGGCACCAGCCAAGGCTATCCCCTCTCGCTGCTAATATTCAAAGGGCTATTGAACCCTCTACTGAGAGCATTCTGAAACACCAACAGGTGGTAGGGTGAGAAAATGGAAAGAGGAAAATAAAATCAATCTGTACACGGATGACGTCGTCATCACCCTAACAGAACCAGCGTATAAAATAAACATAACTTAATCAGAGTTGGTCCCCTTATCCCCTGCTACCACGAAGCCAACTGAAGGGTTTTCACCCTCTCGCCCTTCAGGTGGTGCCCAGTGCCAATTAAGTATCTTTAGATAATGGTCCCTTCCTGTCTCGCATCTCTCTTCAGAACCCCCCCCCCCCCCATGGTCCAGGAAATCACTACCTCACTGGAGACATGGACGGATATTCACCTTTCCCTTTCCAACAGGGCACACCTACTCAAGATGATGGCATTGCAGATGCACCTTGACGGGAGGAGGCTAATCGTAGATGGTATTCTGAAAGCTTTCTTTAAAACGCTTCATTCACACATACCCTCATTCATATGGAATCACAAAATAGAGCAAATGGACTATCATTCCCTTACGTTATTGAGGAGAGAAGGGGGCTTGGCTCTTTCAGATTTCCGAAAATAAGACAAATGAATCGCTTTCAGAACGTTAGACACTGCATCAACTCGAAAAAGAAAGGGACATGGAAAAAGTATGAAGAAGGCTCGGTGAGCCACTGGTCATTTGCTGTAGTTACCTATGCCCATATCAAAGATAGATGCCGTGTCCTAAACCATTATGGATGGTTTCTTACACCTTGGGGAGATGCAACAACAGGCGAATCTCATTCCCCTCCATACGTAGACAATTGCCTTTGTTGGGCAACCAATCACTAACAATAGAATGCACAAGGGCTAACTGGCCTGGCTGGAGAGCGACAGGACTGGAAAGGGTAGGGACCTTCTGAAAAACGATACCTAAGATGAGGGATAACATCTCCAAAGCTACAAACACAAACTTTGACCACAGCACTCACCCCATCTTAGATGGTCTGGTGGACAAAAATGAAAATTCAAGTTTCCGCATGTATACCACCTTACTGTTGGAGATCGATACCAGGTTAGAGCCAAAACTAGAAAGCTGAGAGGGAAAGGCTGCTGGGAAAGGACATCCCTCACCAGAAAAGGACTCAAATATAGTTGGGGCAGGACAACAGGCCCCAGGCCACTTCCGCTAAAAATAATTTAATTCAAATTCAGGCATGGGTCCTACCTGACCAATGACAGGAGAGCCACATTAATAAATTCCTTTTGTAATTGCCCTACATGCCCGCAAGGCATGGTACAGATGTAACAAAATGCCTTCTGGACATGCCCAGATATTGTAGAATTCTTCGAGGATATAAAGGATTATTTTAATTGGATCTGGGGCACAGAGCCGAGCTTCTTAGTGGACTCAACTTTGCGGAGCTTTAAACCAAGAGGGCTATCGGGATACCAACATGCGTTCCTCCAAACCTTTTATAATGTAGAAAGAAAGACCATATGGGTGAATTGGAAAATCATGAACCCCCTCTTGGGGTCTGTGGTACAGCATTCCCCTTGCTTTGGCGGGAATGGAACACCTTAGCCAGGAGATGAAAGGAAAATAATTGGCGTATGAGGCTATGTGGTCCCCATTTTTAGTGAACCCTGCGTGAATAACCAGAACAATAATGGATGGGGCGCGGGGAAGAACTCTTGACGCTTAAACTTTGTAGTAGGCACCGTTGCTCCTGGGGGAAAACAAGAAGGATAACCCCAGACATTGCGCTTATGTTACTTTATTTCCTGTCTAGTTTGGTTAAATTATTCTCCTTCCTCCCCCTCTTCCTTATTCTTCCCTTCCCAGTGAATATGCTGCTCCCGATCGTTGCCTCTACTTGTGGTAGAGCAGCGAGCCCAAGGGCCTTCAGACGGGCCCCCATTTGAAGGTTTATTGTACCGGGTTCGACACATGTTCGTAATTTGTATCTCCCTCTGTGATGTCTGTGTTCTGAGCTCTTGATCACAAAAATAAATCATGTATTGGATAAATAAATTGTGGACGATTGACCAAAGACATCAAGAGTCGTTTTTATTCTTCATGTGATGCAGTGTGGATAGCAAAGAGAGATAGAGAGATAATAAGGTATTAAAGCTTTCGTGACTGCATAAAATTACTCATCGTTTTTTTCGGTAAAGTCACGTATGTAGAAATACAATAAAATTATGTTAAAACAAAAACAATCACGACGTTTCGATCACAACGCAAGCGATCTTCATCAGGTGTCAAGAACAAATCACGGAGGTAAATACAACAAAAAGATGAGAGACGAGAATTCAACAAATCTGAAAAAACATGTGAAGCACGTACAGTCAGGCCAACAACACAGTTCGACACTTCCTGGCGGATCACGAATTTCAGAAGAGTGTTAAATTTTGTGTTCAACCTTTGGATTGCACTACCGCTCTCTTTGGCCCCTTCCCCCCTCCAACCGTATTTCCTATTTAAGCTTCTGTTCATCCCTCTGCCCCCCCCCATCTCTCTCTCTCTGCCTCCCTGTCCGTCTTTCCTCCTTCCTTACCTCTTGGTGGACTTGTATATGTATTTCTACTGACCGTGTCCCTCTTATTTTTCATTCTATCTATGCTGGTATGTGCAATCCAAAGGTTGAACACGAAATTTAACACTCTTCTGAAATTCGTGATCCACCAGGAAGTGTCTAGCTGTGTTGTTGGCCTGACTGGATGTGCTTCACATGTTTTTTTCAGATTTGTTGAATTCTCGTCTCTCATCTTTTTGTTGTATTTAGCTCCGTGATTTGTTCTTGACACCTGATAAAGATCGCTTGCGTTGTGATCGAAACGTCGTGATTGTTTTTGTTTTAATATAATTTTATGGTATTTCTACATACGTGACTTTACCGAAAAAACCAATGAGTGATTTTATGCAGTCACGAAAGCTTTAATGCTTTATTATCACACTTCTACGGGGAAGTTGCCATTGTAATTATGTGCAAGATGTGCCCTTTTTGAGCTGCCGTTTTGAATTTACATGAGGTGGTCATTTTTTGAGCAGCCGTTTTGTATTTACAAGAGGTGGTCCTTTTTTGAGCTGCCGTTTTGTATGTGTAAGATGTGCGTGTTTGAGCTGCCGCTCTCTCTGGCCCCGCCCCCCCCCTTCAACCGTATTTCCTATTTAAGCTTCTGTTCATCCCTCCGCCCCCCCCCCCCTCTCTCTGCCTCCCTGTCCGTCTTTCCTCCCCCGTTTCCTCTTTGTGGACTTGTATATGTATTTCGACTGACAGTGTACCACTTATTTTTTAATTCGATCTATGCTGGTATGTGCAATCCAAAGGTTGAACACGAAATTTAACACTCTTCTGAAATTCGTGGTCCGCCAGGAAGTGTCTAACTGTGTTGTTGGCCTGACTGGATGTGCTTCACATAATGTTTTTTCAGATTTGTTGAATTCTCGTCTCTCATATTTTTGTTGTATTTACCTCCGTGATTTGTTCTTGACACCTGATGAAGATCGCTTGAGTTGTGATCGAAACGTCGTGATTGTTTTTGTTTTAACATAATTTTATTGTATTTCTACATACGTGACTTTACCGAAAAAAAACAATGAGTAATTTTATGCAGTAACGAAAGCTTTAATACTTTATTATCACACTTCTACGGGGAAGTTACCATTCTAATTACGTGTAAGATGTGCCCTTTTTTGAGCTGCCATTTTGTATTTACAAGAGGTGGTAATTTTTAGGAGCTGCCGTTTTGTATTTTCAAGAGGTGGCCCTTTTTGAGCCGCCGTTTTGTATGTGTAAGATGTGCGTGTTTGAGCTGCCGCTCTCTCTGGCCCCTCCCCCCCTCCAACCGTATTTCCTATTTAAGCTTCTGTTCATCCCTCCGCCCCCCGCCCCCCTCTCTCTTTGCCTCCCTGTCCGTCTTTCCTCCCTCCTTACCTCTTGGTGGACTTGTATATGTATTTCTACTGACCGTGTACCTCGTATTTTTCATTCTATCTATGCTGGTATGTGCAATCCAAAGGTTGAACACGAAATTTAACACTCTTTTGAAATTCGTGATCCGCCAGGAAGTGTCTGTGTTGTTGGCCTGACTGGATGTGCTTCACATAATGTTTTTTCAGGTTTGTTGACTTCTCGTCTCTCATCTTTTTGTTGTATTTACCTCCGTGATTTGTTCTTGACACCTGATGGAGATCGCTTGCGTTGTGGTCGAAACGTCGTGATTGTTTTTGTTTTAATATAATTTTATTGGATTTCCACATACGTGACTTTACCGAAAAAACCAATGAGTAGAGATAGAGAGAGACAGGAAGAGAGCAAAAAGAGAGAGGAAGCACGAGATTTGTGCAATCGACGTCACGTTTAGACAAACGCAATCAGTGGATTTGTCAGTAAAGTTTTATTGAACATTCAAACTAACGTTGCATAATTGCCACTTAAATTCACATCTTTATATTCAGGCGTTGCTTTCTGCTGATGCTGTTGCCCGTTGTTTTTTTCATTGATTTTGAGGCAGTGCTTTACATACCGGATTTGTAATGAAAAGAAACACAAACATCCGATATCAACATCTTGTTTGCCAACATCACACCAGGCAGGCAGGGTCTCAAAGGGTGCCAGCTCAGAGGCACTTACCTGCGAGTCACCTGTCCACCACACACACCACCTGAATTGTTAATAACGAGACCAGTCAGGAGTAACCCACACACTCACCTTAAGGTTCTCTTCCCAGAGCATGATCTTCTATCCCCAGAACACTGTCATTTATACTACTGTTGCACGGGCCACGTGACCCAGCCACAGCAGAAATTATAGTTCGCTTCGCGTCACTCACGTCAGATTAGTTTATGTAAATATATTTAAGCATGTCATTCATACATTATTAATATTGAATCTATCATACATATACATTTTTCAAACGTCAACCTCTATTTTTTATGATGACGAGGTGTAGTGAATCAGTGAGTGCTGTAGTATGTATCAAACAAGGTTCTTCCAACGTTATGGAACAACCTTGTTTCCTCGCCAAACATCGTTCACCTTCCCTTAAAAATATTCTGAAGCAGAAGGTTAGTAGTGCCAGATACATCAGCCACATTTGGAAATGTGTTTTGTAACATTGATCCTTACTCACCGTGTAGCAATATTTTAATGTGAATGTAAAATGTAATTGAGGTACGTTATTATCTTGGTGTGGTCTGGAACTGTTGTTGTACATATCCGGTAATGGTCTGGGACTGTTATTGTTGTTGTCTTGGTGTGGGATTGTTGGTGTTGTCTTGGAGTGGTTGGGGACTGTTGTTCTCTTGTTTGGGACTGTTGTTATTCTTGTCATGGTGTAGTCCGGGACTCTTGCTGTTGTTGTTGTTTTGCCCCAGGCTTGCATTTGGTGTAAAATAAATTGGCAGGAATGTATGTTCTTGCGCAATTTGTACATCTATACAGGCGTATCTCACTTAATGAGCATTCTATCTCTGATAATTCGCAATAACGAGCGATTTGAATCGAGATTAATTTATTCCAACACGAGCAACACTCTCACTGAAATACTTTTAGTTGCACTTATGATAATCTTAAGCAGCGCTAAACAATGTTTAGCCGATACATACCCCTCGTGTTCCTCAAAAGAGAGCTCATTATTTAACGCATGTTGGGCTGAAAAACGAGTTCTATAAATCCTCGATGGGAAGGTTTTCCTGTATTTGTATTCCCTTGGTGTACCCAGAATATCCATACTGACTCTAAAAATACATTTTCAAAAGGGCCTCTCTAAGTTTCACAGTAGGGAGCGATGTAGCTGCTCTGTATGATCCCATTTGAGTAATTTGCAGATACATTTCCAACATTTGAATGTTCGGCCAAACCAGTAACATAAAAAAAAGAAGTGGGAAAGAAGAAAAGCGGAGAACCCACAGGAAACCCATCCAACAGCGGAGGGGAACACACAAACCCCCCGCAGAAAGGCACCAGAGTCAGGAACCGAACACAGAACGACTCAGCTGTGAGGCACAAGTGTTACCACTGTGCCACCCCGCCTGTCTAATTGAATACCCGAATTGAATCGAATTGGGAAGAAAAAAAGCCCCCGTGCAATGAATTTGGATTATGACTAAAGTTTACCATCAGAATGCCTAAGTATTATGTAGAACATTTAGTAAAACATATAACCCATAACTGGTTAATTACATTAATCTGCTATACCAGTCGTTCCCAACCAGTGTGTTTGATGTGTACACCTCCCAGCCCTATCACCTGTCCCCATTCCATGACCAGCACATAATCTACTGCAAATCATCCCTAATTTTACTTTACAGTTCCTGTTCATACCCCTTCTGGAGATGGTACAACAGACAGCCACTAACAGAAGATTAATACAGTAATTTCTCCGAACGTTTAGGCTCCCCATTCCCAGAGTGTCAGTCCACTTTATACCCAATAACTCGTTTGGTTTTATTTAATAGTTTCTACTTCTAAAAAACCCTTCAAATAAACAGACCATAAAAGCGAGACGTGACAAATAAAAAACTAAAATCGTGTTTCAAGCCATATGACACAGTACAAATAAGGAAGACATGCACGTGTAAGATACACGATATATAAAATTAGTTAATGCAAATTAGACAAACAGCAGAGACAGAACATACGAGTCAGGGCATTTTAGATGAGTTATTACGAATTGGATATTAGATGGGCAAATGAAATAGGTTGGATATGTTAAACAGTAACAATTGACAGCGAATACATTTTTTTATCATCATGAGCATCCCCACTCTGAGAAACCTGCAAAGAAAGCAATCTTGCGAGCAAGCTGTTACGAGTCGCAAAAACATGTTGTGTTAAGCAGACGTGTTGTGTAAGAAGTACCGATATAGTTGTCTCTTCTCTTCCATCAGCTGTCAACAGGTGGTTGACGACGAGGCTGAATGAAATAGTTCCTTGATTTTCGGTCACTGGACACGACGTTCGCTATGCCGTGAGGCATGGTGAATTCAATATTGGCTTGGCAACATTGATATGTAATATTTAACGAATAAATAATAAGTAAATAACCGTGATAGTTCTAGATTTAAAGCTTTCGTGACTGCTTGTGTTGTGGCCGAAACGTCGTGATTTTTGTTTTATTTTTTACCTACGTGACTTTACCGAATAGAACCAAAGAGTATGAACCGTGATAGTTTTGATGTATTGAGTCACCACTTAAGCAAAACTTGTTTGGCTTTGTAATAAGGATGGAGGGCAACAGATTACCAACAGTGGCTTTGCACCGTAATGTGAAAGGAGTAGAAAGTAGAGGTCGACCGTGAATAAGGTGGATCTACAAGACAACAGAGGACTTCAAACAGGAAAACGTAGAACTGTGGAAAGAGATATCCATGGCCAGGAGTCGGAAACCAACGTAATAAGAAGAGCCATTGTTTTAGAATTCGTTAAAAAAACCCCACTTTATTTTAAGAGCCTCAATGCATGGGAATACCAGGCGGGACTTTATAAACATCGTCACGAAGTAGTCCTTCAAGGGGTGCATGCAGCTCCTGAGCCGCAGGTTGCCAATCCCTGCCCACTGCAGAGACAACTGACATTTAATTCAGCCTCATTTTCGACCACCTGTTGACAACTAATGGAAGAGAAGAAGACAACTGTATTTACTTACAATACACGTCTACTTAACCAACCATGTTTGGGTTATTATGAAGAATTTCTCACAAGATTGTTTTTATTTTATTTTACAACGCGGGGATAGCCTTGATTATTTATATGTTAATTAAGTTATTACTTGTTACTACTACTACGTTTGCCCATCTAATATTCAATTTGTCATAAGCCATCTCAAATGCTCTGACTTATTTCCTGTCTGTGTTGTCGGTCTCATTAGCATTGACTGCATTTTATGTATGTTTTGTATATTACCTGTTTTTTTCTGCCTTGTGTGCATTGTCTGTCTCATCGGTCCTGATTCACATCGTGTCCATTTATACTATCATTTTTATTTAGACAGTATTCTTTTAGGATTTTTTGGTCTAGAAAATTCCCCAGTCCACAAAAAAATACACCATGGGAAATGGGGAGGGGTGGCACTGCTCTGACTCAAGAACCTCAAAGGTTGACAGAAGTAGCCACCATTGTGATTGGCTGGCTGGTCTGCCATCTGTCAAGGGAAATACAAAGTTTGACAGGAAATCGAGCATCTAGGAAGTTTTACTTGATTTGGTTAGCCAGGTCACTTGGTGCATGTGTGATGGGTGGCGGCGCACGGACAAGAGACTAGTTTTCACCTTTGATTACACTTGGCTAAGGGCGGTTTGTCTTCGTTTTGTAGACAGGCCACCACTGAGTCATGCAGCATTATGGAGCAAGGGGACAAGGTTGAATGTATCCCAACAACTCCTAAGAAAGTACACCCAAACCCACACTCTCACACTTATGCCCTTGTACCATTCTAGAACGCGCATGCACTGTGAAACAATGTTACCTCAGCCACCGCAAGGCAAGCGAGGCTGTTCTGGATAGCTACACCACAGACCCGAAGTAGTTGTGATACTTCTTGAACATGGACCTTCCGCACTATCCTGTATGCTTCGTCGCAGTCAGTGCAGTGCAGATAACTGTTCACAGCAAGATGCCGCAACGAAACGGCCATACGCCAGCAGTGGCACCTGGCATCTGATGAACGACGGCTCCGTCAGAGTGCTGACGCAGTCGCGGTCCGTTAATGACAGCACAGCGATGCTGCTGCAAATAGCAGTAACGAAGTGTAGACGCGATCTTCTTATGGATATCGACAGCGAAGTATTTTCTTCCCGTCAGGTGACAGCTAAGCATATGATTATAATAATTTCATTCATGTTGCGCTTTTCATCAATGATCTCAAAGCGGGGTCGAGGACACAGCAGCGCAAGACACGCAGTATAAAAATAATATAGATTTGAAGTTTTCGTGACTTCCTGGATCCATACTCTTTGGTTCTTTCGATAAAGTCACATAGGTATATAAATAAAGTATCACGACGTTTCGATCGCAACACAATCGACTGTCATCAGGTGGAACAGATACAGCAGGAGAACTGCTGACATAGGAGAAAGAGCTTCTGCAACAAGAGTTTATATCGGATTTTGGTGGGCTCAACCCAAAGGTAAGTGGGCGGAGCTAGAGAATGAATTTGTACGTAAATGTATATGTGAGAGATTAACCTCTGTACGTAAATGTGAATGTGAAAGATTAATCTCTAATTCCTTCTCTTATTTATTTTATTTTATACCTACGTGACTTTACCGAAATAACCAAAGAGTAAGCATAAAAACAATTACATTCTAAATGTGTAGTGACGTAAATTGAGTCACTGTGGCGTTTAGCGCCAGCTACTATTACAACAGAGGAACTGTGCATCTTGAGCTTTTCTCTGGCACTAGAGTGGGTATGGCATGGAAGTGGGCCCTAGGGGGCATGGTTTTGGTGATGGTCAGAGAGAGGGCAAGTAAGGACGTGACAGTCTGGGTGAACCCGAGAGGGCACATGACCGGGTAGTGAGGGGGCCCAAAGGGGGGCTTGAGGGACACATGATGCTCGGTCGAGAGCCTTCTGGTAAGATCCAGAAGGGGGAGTGGCCGAAAGAGGAGAGAGGCCACACTCGGGAGCATAAAGGGGTTGTCCCGAGAGCAATGGCGGGTGTCTGTTGGAATGGAATCCGTCGGTGCTACATCTCTTAGATCCTCGGTCCTCGGTTTTCGGTCGTTGGTCTT